CTCGGCCCGCCGTTCCGCCGGTCTCGATACTGCTCCTTCCAGCTTGATCGAGCTTGCTGGATCGAATCAGTCTGGACGGTCGCTGGTCGCGATTTCGATCGGGCCAATCTTACAGGGAGATTGTACGGCTTGTTGTCATCGATTTTATCGACACATCGTAGCACAGGGTCGGGCAACATTTTATTCAAATGCAGATTAGAGGCAGAGAATAACGGATCAAACTTTATATTCGCGACACTGTCGATTGTCCGAGCGAACGAAAAGTTATCTGGATGGTAATTTTTATCCGAATAAGAATTCTTTCGAATGGGGAATAAAGAATTACTCGAATAAATAGGACGCGATGAATAAATCTGATTAAGAACTTTCTGTAGATGTCTGGACACTTTAAAATACCTATTGGTAGGTATTCAGGTTTTAATAAACTATTTATTTATCTGGATGGAAATTTGGCCGAATAAGATTTTATCCGAATAAGCATTCATTCGAATGGGGAATAAAGAATTACTCGAATAAATAGAATACGGTGAATAAATCTGGTTAAGAACTCTTTGCAGATGTCTGGGCACTTTAAAATACCTATTGGCAGGTATTCAGGTTTTAATAAACTATTTATTTCGACTATGCTTACATACAGACCAGACACTATTATCACAAAAATAGTATTATTCAGTGAATTAAGAAGGCAATCGGATAGAATTAAAAGGAGACAGAAAAACTACTGAGAGATGACTGAAGAATGGCCGAATAATGTCGCTCTTTTGGTGGTCTTTGGAACGATAGAATATGCGCTCAGTTTAGCAGATTATGTCAAGAAGCTCTCCGCAGATGCTCGATGAAAATCCGCAGAAACACTTTAGCCGGTTTCTTCTCGAGATCGATCGTGGACGATTACATCGGTAAGCCGGCGTTCCTTTTTTGTCAGCGAATTCTCGGTCGCGAGCTTTATCGTTCCGTCGATTCGTTCGATCGTTGCCGGAAAAACAGCGAGGCGGAAACAGAGACCGCGAACCGCACGTTCCTTCGTTTCAGCAAATTTACTTGCGATTTCATTCGCCGGGACGGACGACGTGTAAATACGTTTACGAGTTCCGTTGGCGCGGACGACGGCTGGAGACGCGATCGAAGGTTCTCACGGGTCAGGAATAAGAGCAAAAAGGGAGACAGGTCCAGTGGAAGGAAGCTCGAGGACCGATATGCAATTAGGAATTCCGAAGTTGCTCGTAGAATTCTCGGCAATTGTGCTCCGTTGAAGTTGCGAGCGGTACAAACTCGGGCGCTTCGCGATCGAACAAAACATAATGCAATGATAAAAATCCATTGGAGCACCCCGAGGATAAAGAATTATCTTCAAATCGAGCGTTTGAACTGCTTCGAAAACACACGCGTATTCGACTGTGTTCAGTTTTAAGCGGTGCGATAAATATGTCTGACCATGATCGTCCGTTTCTACTTCTCGATACGTCGAAACCTGCGCTCGTCGGAATAATTTTTAATTCGCTCGTAAATCTAGCCTCATTTTAGGAACCGAGATCAACGTGAAAAGCATGATTAATCTTTTCTGATTTGAGTTCCGTAAATGGGCATAAAAGATTTCCATTTCGCGAAGCCAACGATATCGAAGTAGTCTTGACATTAAAACGTTGAAAGGCGATAATCGACTTCCCCAGAATTCGCACCATATCTATGCCGTTTAATTAACCATACTGAAACTAGAAGGGTTAAAATTCACTGTTAAAAACATTAGCCTTCGTTTTCTAAAAATCCTAGTAACATTCGATTCGTTCAATATATCTTTCATTCAATGTTCTAATTCATAAATACGCGAAGCAAACGATTAAAGAAATTGAACACGTCTTAATTGATAATTATCAAGTTAACTATACCCTGGAAAACAAACTAAACTGCACTCCTACTACATATTACACCTATTGCGATAAAAATGAATTTCAAAGCTGATCTTCGTTCAACGAGGATATTGCCGATCGTTATCGAGTTGTCGATAGAGTCGCGGCTCTCTTCGTCTTCCCGGGGGGCAAGGAGCAAATGCCGGAAAACGGTGGCGAGTAAGTTGCTCTCGAAGGATCGCCATCAATTTCCATTCCCGCCGTATTTTCGACGCGATCCATTTTCGGGAGCGCGGCGAGTATCCGCGTGCCGATCCATCATTGTCCGAAACAAGAAATTCGCCGGGTGACTTATCACGGCAGTTTCGAGACACGACATCGATGGTCCCCGGGAATGGACATTGTACGGAATACCTCGCTGTTTGTTTCGCGTAAATGGTCCCCGGGGTCCGAGACAAAGGGCTCCCGGATCAACAAGCCGCGTTTACACGCGCGATCCCAGTTGCGGAGACTGCTCGCGCTGTTCCGGTTGCCGAACGATTGTTCCTTCCCGTGTTCACGGTGTATTTACATGTACATGTTTTAATTAGACGAGAAATTTGGCGGGAAATTTCATCGGGAAACGTTCCGAAGGAATGGGAATTTAATTCGCGGCCGTTGCCGCGCCGCGTGTTCGAAAGTATTCCATGAATATCGAATTGTTATTGCCAACAATCATGAATAATCTGGGATGAACCGCGATGGAAAAAGTTCGCGGGGAATGCACGCGCGAACGAGGCAATGATTTTTAATTATATTAATAAACTCTCGCTTGCCCCGGGACCCGCGGGATCATAAAATTTTGCGTTTCGCAATTTCGGTCGGCGTTTGTCTCCCGCGTAATCCGCAGTGCGGTTCGGAAAAGTTACGTTTTTTCAAAGAAAATTCGTCGCTGCGGATCGTGCAATAGTTTCGAGAGCAATTTCCGGTTGCTACGCGGGAGAGAAAGAGAGAGAAATAGAGAGAGAGAGAGAGAGAGAGAGAAGAGGGGAGCGTTACAATTCGATGATTCGCTCTCTGTGAAAAGCGAGACCGCGGGTTTCGGATTATTTGTGGATTAAGGCGGATTCGTATTTCGAGAATTTCGAGGGCATTAGGGGAACCGAGGAGGACAGAATTAATATCCAGTCTAATTTCCGGGCCGAATCGGAGCCGCGCGAGGTAGTTGTAATCGCCGGAAAAGGGGAAACACGCCGGAAAAGTTAATTATTCCGGTTTGTGTTCGCGGCGCCGCGACGGATATCTTCCGCCGAGCTTCTCAACTTTCGTTCGTTCAAAGACCGGCAACTTTTAATCACCGGCGGGACAACGAGACGCCGGCATAAAGAAAAAAACTTCGCTCCTCGCCGCGGTTGCTGCGTTCCTCCGGCCTCGCGGTCGTTAATGACGCGGAAAATCGCGAGCGGCGATTACGAGATCAATTTTGCCCGCGCGCCGAGAAAACGGTTCCCGAGCCTGTCCGACGGCTCGTCACACGGCGCCCGAATCGTCACGGCCCTGGCTGCTATTTTTGCTGTCGTCCGCGCGATATTTATAACAACAGACTTATTTCACCGTCGACACGACTTCTATCTGTCGCCGGACGCTCAAACCTCGCGACTCGCGCTGGAAACCGGCCTCGATCGTCCATTTTCTCGTGCCTCGTAATCCGAAAAAGTAGCCTCGTTTTCTGCAACGTGCGAACAAATCGGCTCTCTCCTATCGGATCTAATTATTCTCGGGTTCGATCGGCTGATGCGTTTCGTTCTGCTGCAACTCTCGCTTCGAACGCGTTCGCACAGATATTTAAATGCCGGCCAAGAGAAGTCTTTTCGCGTTTCTTAACAGAATTTCAAAGATTCACCGCGCGAAAAGTTAAGTTAAGGTGCCTGGCTTTCTTCGACTTCCCGCCGTTTCTCGGTGCTCCCGTTCGCTCGCCGAACGATGCTGCAAATTTGATAATGTTACGGGAACGGTTAAGCGGTTTTTCGAGCACTTTCCGACCCCGTCCATTGTCTCCGTTCATATCCGGCCTCGCAGCGTAAATTCGACAGCATTAAACGAACAATTACGAGATTTCTCGAACACGTTCTGCAGCCTTTAATTGCCCCCATTCATTTGTAAAATCACGCCATAAATTCGATAATATCAAACGAACGATTCTCTTTCTCCCGCCTATTCGCAGCCTCTGCCGTTCGTTCGCGGAATCGTGGCACGAACGCGATAATATTAAATAAACAATTCAGCGATTTCTCGCGCTTTTTCTTCTCCCAGGCATTCGTAGCGTCTCATTTATTCGCGGAATCGTGGCATAAATTCGATAATATCGAACGAACAACGCGCAGATTTTTCGGAGCACTTTCTCGAAAACTTTCGATAGCTTTTCGATCCGGTTCGCGGTATCGTGCCGTAAATTCGATAACATTTAACAAACAATTCACCGTGATTCTTCCTCGCGCTTTTCTCTGGCGATCCGTGGCCTCCGTTCATTCGCGGACTCCCAGGCACAAATTCGACAACGTTAAACGGAGGATCGAGAGATTACACGAGATTATACGCGAGCGTTCTGTGATTGTTCCAAGCAGCATGCATGACACGTTACGATGACGAGCGGTAGATTGCCGGTCAGTGTTGCCTAGCAATTTGATTAGCGATTTGACGGCGCTATCGGTGCATCGCGGCACGGATGCGCGAATCCCGACGAATTTAAGACAGGGCTGTACGAGCGGAAAGATCGATAAATACGGCAAATCGCTTCGAACATTAGCGAGCTTTCCGAGACCGTAGGTTTACCATTATGCGGCCGATCACGGTCATCCGCGGCTTCATTATGTGGTTATTGATACCGTTGGTCATTTATCTCGCGACTTACGGGTCCCCTCTAATCGTTAATAACATCGGGACTTAATTATCCAGCCATCACGAATTGGCAGACTAATAATCATCAATCTAGCGGCACGTGCGCCGGCCAACTTCGACCGTTCCGGGAGCAACATTGTCGATCGGGCGAGTTGTAAATCCGGCCCACGGAGCCGAAAGTAATCGTCTAATCGCGCCGGACTAATTGCTGCGTTGTTAATAGCTTGCCGATCGGGGGACAACCGTTCCAGTATACTTTTCGTTCTCATTTTCCAGGAAGGAGAGGCGGAACTGCTGCCGCGCGAAGCTGAGGAGATCAGGACCGTCGATATTCCGCCGTAAGTAAATCATTCAATGTCGCAGACATAATTTATTGGAAATGCCTCGCCGTCGAGAATCAAAGCTTTTGAGTCATCCGAAAATTTTCAGACCTCTCTCTGGAAAACATTTCAGTTTCTTTTACAAATATTTTCGAATCTTGGCGAGTACGCTCTGCATCGGAGGCACGCATCGTTCGGTTAGGTTTGTTATGCGACCGCCTGGAACACGCTATTTTCGGAGGTTTGCAAACAAGTATATTTTTGCTGCCGATTTAAAATAAAATCGGACTTTCAACTGGAAAAACTAAACTAACCCCGCCGCTGCTTATAGTATGAACGACCTTCAGACTGCAACATAGTTCGATGGAATCGTCTTGAAATGAACAAACAGCTCAGTTATACAAAAACTTCTGCTGCATTTTTAGTAAATAAAAATCTAGCTTCAAGATCAATGTTATATAATATTAAGATCAATATCATGTAATAATAATTAAAATCAATATCATATAATAATAATAAATATCATGAATCGATTATATAAAAATCAGCTTTTCCTACCAGACGTTTTTTAATCATTTCTCGGGATGCGATATCGTCGAGAGAATTTCACGGGCCACCCTGTAGATCGGGAATACGCGAGAACAAGTAGAGTGAAGCCTGCTCAGACGAAGTCGAAGCGAGTTCGCGTGCAATGTCGCAAGTTAAATGCATCGACGAAGTCACTTAGGCGAACGCACTTCGTTGTATCGGGCAAGGACCGCGCTACAAGCTCCGGGGATCGAACCGTTTCTTTCCCCTAACCGCGGGTAAGGCGCTATCGTTTATTTAAACGGGACGAGTTATCGCGTAAATCGACCGTCCGCTCGATAGCTCGTGGTTTTCGAAATCGGCTAGAAAAAAAAATATCGGCGCCGGAAACGCGGACGGGCGTCGCTCTGGACCCGATCTCGAAATAGTTTCATGATCGTCTGATCCGCGTAATTTTAGTCCGAGGTGTAGGCCGAGTGACGCAAGTGATCTGGCCATTAGGAGATCGCGATTTTTCGCCGTCATTTCTCGAACTGGAATTTTCCTGCTGCCTTTCGAATCGTCTTGTCGTTGTCGCTTGGTGTCTGAATTCTCATAATTTTATTTCTGAATTCGGAGCAAGCGAGAGCGAAGTTTTCATTTCTGTACTGAGAGATTATTTTTCAAATTTCCACTTTCGGGATTTTTCTACAGGCTTCGCGAAATATTTTATCACTGTCATTTGTGGCACAATTAATCGATTATTGGCTGTTCTTAGGTTCACATTTTTATTCAACACTAGGTCATCAACGCTAAGTTTAGAGAACTCGTATTATTAACGATGATTATTATTCAGCATTATTCAGATTGTAAAGATACAGTGATGTCTCCCTAATTGTCTCTTCTCTTCCCAAATTGTCAATTTTTGTAGCCAATCTGAGCGTCAATTAGAGAGACATTACTGTACATTTATGATATACACGTTACTTGCTGCGAATATTAAAAAGAACACGCGTCGAAAATCAGAATTCTCATTCTTAGAAATCAGAATTTCTATTAAAAATCAGAAACATCATTGTTGCTTTTATGAAGTAATATAAAACAGCTGCTTCTGGTGCTCCATAAATCCAGTGTTAAGAACGCGGAGCAAGCGCGATCGAGTAGAACGTAATATTGTACAGAAGTTTCTTCGAGACCGTGTCGGACTTCGTTGCGGCGCGTATTGTTCCGGAAAGCTTTCGCAGCACAGAGTACAGAAAAACCAACAGTTTCATAATTAATCTTCGGCCGGTAAATGGCACCCGCGGGAACGGCTCACGATGAAATAATAAACAGGGCGCGAGAGCGTGTTCCACGCTCGCTATTTACTTTGATCTTCGTTCCGCGTTTCGGCGTTCCCAGTAGATTCATCCGGCGCTGGCTCGTCGTCTGCATGTCGAAACGGCTGCGGAGACACGGTGCAACCTCGGCTGCCGATAATTTCGGCGGCAAGTGGAATAAATCGCGAATTATACCCGGCCGACGCTTTCGACGGTCGCTCCGTTCGCTCCTCCGCGCCGCCGTTTCCCATTTTCTCGCGGAGCATCCGATTCGTTTTTGCATGGAAATACTCGCGCACCGTTGCTCGACGCTTTGTCCTCGGTGAATGGCACGCGAAAGCTCCGGCCATGAACACGCCCCCGCGTTTAGTGCAGTGTTACTCTCAAGTGCTCCGCGGAACGATGATTTATCCGCAGCTTTTTGACCGGGTTCCAAGCTTCCCGAACCCCCGCGGCGACGCGGATGTTTCTTTAATTCCGATCCCCGAGTCATCCTTCTCCGTTAACAGCTAAATTTATTTCCCGAGATAAACACGAGCTCGCCGAGTAACCGTGTTTTGTCGTCCCGTGAAAGCAGCTCCGGGAGCCGTTGCGAGAATTTGTGCAACGGGGACGCGAAAGCAGCGCTTTGCTATTAGCGCACGGACCGATTAAACATTGGCACCCTTTGATACACTATTTACGGTGCGAACTCGCGACGGAAATACATTTTCCGTTTTCTGATCGCAGCTGGAATCCGTTCATTTTTCGAATAGCTCGGTCCGAATATTCTTCGACTAGGAAATCCGAGTAAATCCTCTCCAATTTTCCTTCAGCTTGTAAAGAAATTGTAGGAAACAATTTGGGAAGCTTTTTATTATACGATTTATTATACGATTATTTGAGCCTGGCATTTCGTTTCTATAATTGTTGGCAATCGGCAATTATGAAAATGAGCCGCGAAGAATTTGCTGTATTCGAATCTTTTTCGCTGTCGGACTCGAACGACTGAATCTGCTTATTAATATTTTCTAGATTTCGTGAGCACCTTTATCTTCGTTGCAACAATCAGAAATTGGATTGTTAAGTCTCCGGTACAGTGTTCGATTCGAACTCAATTTATTGGATCATCGATTCGAACTTTATTTTATTATTTTAATTGATGCAATCGGAAACCTTAAATGCCAAGATTTCGTGCACTGTCCGACGCGAACGGCTGAATCTACTTCCTGGTAAATTATACACGTTTCATGGGCGATATTTGTACGTTGATCGACGAAATCAAGAAATCTGGTTATTAATATCTTACGCGTTCCGAGTCTCGAATGATCGATTCTACGTTTGAATATTTCATATGTTTGTCGTGCGCAATGTTTTTTTATCGTGATCGATACGTTCAAGGATTCATGCATTAATATCTTACACGTTGTCCGTCTCGAATGCTTGAATCTACTTTTTAATATTTCATATTATGCATGACCATGTGCATTATGGCCAGTCGATGCAGTCGGAATCCGAAGCAAGAACGTTTTTTCCCGCGCGCCTGTCCGGAACAGCTGAATCTACTTGCTGCTGCAATTTCATACGCTTTTTGCTATGCGGTGGTTTTTATAGAGGCGTCTTATCGATACCGGGGCCTTCGAGGCAAAGAAAACGGCAAGCACTGCCAATAATCGCGAACACGTAGCGAGCAAACAGTGGGCATTGTACTTGGGGGCATTATACTACACCAGACACCCACACCAGAAGTTTAGATATCGACGACGGGATTCGTGGAACACCAGAAACAATTGTCTCGTTGCCAAAGTAGAATCAGCCGTTCTAGTCGGACAACGGTGTATTCCAACCGATTCGTCAGCGTTTCCATTCGGAACGTCGCGAAGCTTTATTCCACTGTTTCGCGAAAACAATTACGACCGGTCCAAACTCATTCGCCGTCTTCTGATAAATTGAGCTACTCCCCTTGGCGAAAGGTGTTCGAACACCTTCGGAAATTCATAACTCTTTTTAAACTGAACTTGGTGTTCGAATAGATCTTGCCAGGGATTGTAATAATAAAAAATAGGATTTAAAATAATAGAAGAAATCAAATCAAATACTACTACTAAAATAATAATTTAAAATGATGAAAATAGCAATTGTGTACAATAATTCCATGCCAGTGGTGATAGAGAAGATGGTACTTTTGGGATATTTATTTTAAGACAGTCTTCTAGCTTGGTTTAAAAATCAGTTCGACAATTTGACGGATCTGAAAGGACGTTTTCCTCGATGCATCGCGACTGTCGACGTTATCACGGAGCCGGCCCGGCAGAATAGCGCGTTAAAAATTGCAAAAATTGTGCTGTAACGAAAGTCGGATAGACGGAATCGCAGCGTGTCGAGGAAACCGTGTTTCCGTATCAGAATATTTTCGCGCGAACAGACAACCGGGAGCAACGGAGCGTTGCTCTGACACAGCGTTGCTCTCAACGGGAGCGAAATTAAAAGCAGGGAGTAAATAAGTGCGTTCCGCGGAAAAGCATCGGCGCCTCTTTTATTTTTAATTGCTCGCGTACGCGCTGCCTCTATTTTCTCTCGTTCTCTCTCGTTCTCTGTCTCTTCATTTAACCCTCTTTCTCTCTCTCTCCGCGCGTTACAGGGCAAACAAAGCTTCTGTTTGTACCGTCTATAGAATACCGTGGCCCGTATTGTTCTCTGCGTTCGCATAATCGCATCAGCCTGCAGCTTTGCAGTCGACTTCGCGTAACTCGAGGACGACTCATTGACGCTGGCGCACTCGAAATCGCCGTCGCTCTCGCCTACGGCAGACGGAGAAACGTCGAAATGACGAACGACCGTGTAAGATTGAATCGCATAAAACATTTACAGCGCGACTGTTCCGCGGACGTTCGCGCAATTTCCGGCTCGACCGATCGAATTCCCAGAACTCGCGGGCATCAGACCGGTATCTTGTTAATGGGTTTCGATGCCGGGCAGAAATTTTCACGGTAAAAATCCGCCGTCGGCGCACCAGACATCCGCAATTTAATTGCGTGCCGTTTCGTTAATGGAGAGAAAACTGCGGACGACACGAATCGCCGCCGCCTGCACTCGTTCTATTAACTTTTTCGGGTCTCTTGACTGCGGGTCGCGCGGTCCGTTTTATTTAGTGTCTCCCGGTGAATATTATTTTCTAAGCTCTCGCAGGGGCGAGCACGACGCTCGAGTGCTTTTAGAACACCGCGCCACCCGTATTTTGACCGACTGCTCGAATGTTTACCGGTTTAATCCTTTTCCTTTTCTACTCACCCGCTCCGCCGTTGTGTTTTGCTCTTTGCCGACGCAGTTCGCGGCCGTTCCCTTTCGTTAATTTGCATTCCGCGTTCATCCTCTTCCTCCTCTCATCGTCGTTTTTTGTTACATTCACGTTCTATTCACGAAGCTCGTCCCGCAATTTCACCGTCGCCCGTGCAATTTATTTCATCGCTATTTTATCATTCAATTGTAATATTTTTATCTGAATTTTTACAACCCGGTAAATCCCGCTAAGCCGCGAGCATTTCGTTGATTTTACTTTACTCGGGATATTCGTCGCGGACATTTCCAGACACTTCGGTGTACCATAATCGTTGATTCCACGATTTTTACAACGTTGTTTCTATCGTTCTCCATCGTGTCCATCGGGTCCGCTCTCTTTGTACGAGAAATAAATTAACACGTTCGTCGCCGCGTCATCAAGATCTGGGTGACGGGTATGCTTCCGTGGGGACCCCGTCATCCAAATATGGGTGACACTCTTCTTATCCAATTTATAAATATAATATATATATTATAGTAATATATTATATTATATTATAATATAATATATATATTATAGTAATATATTATATTATATTATAATATAATATATCCAAAGGAATAAAATGGAATGATCACTGAAATATAAATATAGGATTTGCGTTCTTTGCAAAGTGCAAGTTTGCTGACAGTAATTAGATAGATACGGTAATAGATAGAGTCCTTTGACCAACATCTAACGAGCGGTGTCCGCACTAGACCCATCCAAATCATCAGTCCTATAAATTTTGTAATTTCTGTGGAAGTGGTGTGTTTCCACCTGTTCAGTCGAGTATGCTCAGTCATTTCTTGCCGATGCAATTTCTACTCTGCATATCTGTTAGTCTCTGTGACTAAAAGGCTTATCGCTTTTTCGCCTGAGAATAGCGAAGCCACTTCACTTGCGCTAATATCAGACGGCAAATCCATCAAAAGCCCATCTTTTCCTGTGAACGTAAATGACTGTCGTCTGTTAGCAAAATCGTTCCACTGAATATTGTCCAACGAATCATCAACGGAGTTCGGCTCCTCTTCTTCGTCTACAGCAAGCTCTTCCAACATGTCGTCGAGGTCTTCACTTGCATACGATTCCTCATATGATCGGAGTTTGAACTCGATGGAATTCTATTTATCACTTTTAAGTTCTATTAACACTAAACCTACCAAGCAGTAATACTAACTGGCATGTACTGCTTCACAAAAGCGAGAAGACCGAATTTATTTAGAATTTGTAAAATTTTTATTATACAACTTGCTCCAATAATATAACTTATTCATGCATTCGCCACAAAAAGGTCTCGGAACTTTGCAGAATTGCAAAATAAGAAAGCGGTCACTTCGACCGCGGTAGGTTTCGTGTTAATAATAACATTGTAATTAAGCATAATAATTTCTCTCTGCAACGACGATCATTTCGAGCGTCGACATTTCAGGAAGATAATAGAGTCGATGGAGCGTCTGTACGCAGTGCCGTCGGAGAAGCTGCGCGTTTGGTCCGCCTGGCTGACGAAGATCACCGAGATGACGGACGAATGGCAGCAATGGCTGCGATCGCACATTGATCTAGCAATAAGGATCGCGGAGCGGCTGGAGGAGGCGAGGGAGGTCCTCAGGAAGTCCGAGACGGTGAGTTCTGTTTCGTGTAACGACCGGCGCGGCACTTATTCCCAGATATTTATGTCGAACCTCGGGGAAGAGGCTGTGCGAGAGATTAATGCTATTATAAAAGCCCGGGAAAAATTACTGGCCGGCGAGAACGTAAATCCTAGTGTCCGGTTCCGTGCGCGAATGGTACAAGCTGTAAAAATAATCCGGCACTATATTTAAGAGGCCAGGACGGACCATTTCGTGCACCCGAAATCAGCGGAAGACGCGATAACACGTATCGGCGCGTTTCGCGAACGAATCGATTGCCGTTAACCGTTCGAGTCCCAGGGGTTATTGAGAAAACACGATCGAAAAATGCCGAGCAGCGTGATAGCGCTTGTCTTAATTCATTGCAAGGAGAACCAAGCGGCGCGATGGCGCTCGTAAAGATTGACAAACGAAACAAGAAGAAAAGAAAATGAAGAAAAAGCAGCTATGCGATGTACGTGCTTCGCTAAAGTTTGATCGCGTTTGGGACTCAAACGGTTAAATCGCTGAATCTCTAGGCGGAAGACGTATCGGCCGTTTAAATTTTGCTCGGAAGTTCGGCCGGCGGTCGACCTAATTTGCCGGTCCAACGACGACGATACGTTCGCGTAACGACGCATCGTAAGAACGCTGGTTGCGGCGGTAATGGTGTCGATCGTCGATCCAGATCGTCGGCCAGAATATATATATTATTGCTGGGACAATTTCGGTCGAGCATCAGCGCCTCCATTTATCGCGGAATCGAACGGCGGTCGATCCGCGGCGGCTGGTATCGTTTTCCAATCGTTTTCGCGCTGCTTTCGAGAGATAACGGCGTTCGAGAGAGAGCGCGAAGACACGAAGCAGAGCGGAGGAGAGCAGAACGCTGCACGCGCGAGTCCTTTGACAAAGGTTCGCTAACAATGTGCGAGCGATACGCGCCACGGTGCACCGTAAATATCTTGCAGTCGTAAAAGCACGTCTGAATGGAACGCCGAAGCGGCGCGACGCGACGGATGGCTCGTTCCGTCGACGACGAAGAACCAGACATTTCCACGGCGAATCACACGTTCGCCAGCGTCGCTCGCATTGAAGCGGCGGCCTGACGAGACGACAATCGTGAACGCGAGCAAGCATCGCGCGCCTACAGTCGGAATTGGCATAATGCAGCACGCACGGCTGGAAATTCGACGGCCTGATAGTCGGTTCCGTTTCTGGGCAACGAAGATTGGTACTTTCGCCCGAGACTCTGCGACTGGCGGCGCACGCCTCTTCGATTTCTACAGGATACTGAACATTCTCGATATGGGAAATCGACGCGTCCTGCGTTTCGTTTTAATGGGACTCCTTTTTACTGTTGCTGAGAAGGATGCAATTTGTTTGACTCCGTTTGAGACCGTTCGAGACTCCTCTTATTGTCACTTTAACGATCGATGGACGACTTTGGGAATTTTTTAAGAGAAAACCGATGATCGTAATAATTTAAAATGTTCAGAGCTTGTTTGACAAGCTTCGGAGAGTCCGAAAAAATTTTTTATTTCCAATAGTTTTGGGTGTAAAAAAGAAGACAACGTAATTTGTACAGGCTGTTTGAGAGTACTTCCACTGTCACTTTAACGATCGAAGGATGACTTTGGGAATTTTTTAAGAGAAAACCGATGATCGTAATAATTTAAAATGTTCGGGGATTGTTTAAAAAGCTTCAGAGAGTCCGAAAAAATTTTTTATTTCCACCAATCTTGACTGTAACAAAAAAGGCAAGGTAATTCGCGCAGACCGTTCGAGACTCCTCTCATCGTCGCTTTAACGATCGAAGGGTCGGCATTTGGAATTTTTTAAAACAACGCTGCCAAGCAGAGAACATCGCGAGCTTGTTTCGCAATCTTCAGAGAATCCGTCAACATCTTTCATCCGGAGGAGCCCGGATTGTCTCGAAAGTTATGACGGTTCAAAGAGAGAGCTTTGTACACAGAGATTTCTAAACGAAGACACAGGACGGCAGATTTCATTCTCCGCAGAAAAATTCCAAGGAAGATCGGCCGTTTCTCAGCCTCGGCATCGCCCTAACCGGATCCCGTGGTAAAGAGAATTTTAAAGAAGGATTCCCCGCGGCGGAACGTTCCAAATTGACACTGTTTCCCCGTAGTTTCCCTCGAAGCAGATCTCGCAGGATCTTCCCCCCACCCCACCCCAGTTTCCGTCGGAGAAGTTAATCCGTCAGAGACAGTGTCCGCGGCTTAATTCGAGGCGAGCTTGCGCGCGCGTTCCCGAAGCGGAGAGTCCCAAGGCGCATAATTTACGCGGGTTCACCGGAGAGCCGTGTGCTCGAGCAGAGCCTCCGGGCGAGCCTTGAACGGTCGCGCGGAATTCCGTGTCTCGCAACCGAAGCATCGCGGCACAGGTGTCCGGGCGCGTAGCCGCGTTACTTTTCCGTCCGGCGGAAGATTTATGCTCACCGGCGCTCGTCCGCGTGACGAGGGAACGGTTTAAATCTCTGTCTGGCGGCCAATGAGTGAGTTACCACGCCGCGCCGGAGAACAAAGTCGTGTGGGAAAACGTCGCCCACGCGCCCGTCGTCTCTTTCCTTGGTCTCGCGAAGGTCGGCCTTCAAACGGAAGATTAATCGAGCGACCGCAATATATTTAGTCGCGGCCGGCCGTGTCCGGCCGTTTCGCGTTTAATAAAAGAAAGCCCGGCGACGTCACGGTGTATCGACGCTGCGACGATTCGAGCGGAGATAACGACGGGGCGGGGGCAAAAAGTTTCGCCGTCGACGGGACCCGATAACGCCGAAAGGTAAACAACGTTTAATAAAATCGAAGCGATCTGGCACGCCTTTCCTGGAGCACGCTCGGAGGCAAATGGTAAACGCGGGGGCGGAGCTGCCCGGTTGCGTTCACGGGGACGCGCGAAACACAGAGAACGAAGAAACTTTCTTATAATATTCCGATTCCGGGCACCGATTTCCCATCGTCCGCGGGAACGTTTCCAGAATTGCTCGGAAACGTTCAGCTTCCCCTGCGCGCAAAGTGGCCGAGCTTCCTGTGCGAATTTCTCGGGCCATCCGAAATAATGCCCTTTCGTATCGATGTTACTCGAACACTCGGCTCGCGCAGTTTTATTTCCGTGGGAATCGTTCTGCTGAATTTTCTGCAATTTCTGACGATGCGATCGTCGTCGCTCTTGTTCCTCGCTGACTTTAATCAGTGGCTCGCTTATCTTTTTTAGTGCGATTCCACTGCGAGATTCGTCTGCGAAATTGCAGGCTGCCTGCTCGTATTTGTCCCGCGATTAAATTCGTATAATTCGTCGATTAATTCTTTGCACTCGGAGCTATTTTCTAAAACCGGCGTAGCAGTTTTTAGTGTAAAAAGGTTGAACCTCGCGATTCCAGAGGCAAGGAAATTATATTCGCTGGATGCCGTTGTGTCGTCCCGCGGCGTTCTCGGATGTTACAGCGTTAACAGCCGGCGGTTTTTTAATGCGCAAAGTGAAACCCGATATCGGGATGTGGGCGAGTCTCGAATTATCTGGCAAGATTATCTGTAAATTTCGTCTATGTTACACGATCTTTAGGGAATCCGATAGGATAGGGTATCGCGGGAATTGCGAGAACCCGAATCCGTTGCATGATTACGGTGGCCCGTAATCGGCGTGAGAGAATGAGAGAGAGTGAAAGAGAGAGAGAGAGAGATCGTGTGTACGCCAGAAAATTTTAAACGTCGTTGGGGCAGATTTATGCACTGGCAGCGACGGCTGCGGGCTCACGTTCCTCCGGTCCCACGGCAGATAAGGGGCGCAAATTTAATTTTAATTTTAATATGCATTATTCGGCTGCCGTTCTGTTTGCGCCAGCCAAACTCCCGGAACGTTTCGGCACGGAATTGAGTTTCGACGAGACGAAACCCGCCCCGAAATACCCTTCTTTTCCCGCCGACAAGCTTCCCTGTTACCTACGTTTCTTGCACTTAAATGCGCGCATTATACGACAAGCAGCCCTTGAAAGAAAACAGAACGTTCTTGGCCGGGACAAGTTGCCCGCAATCTTTCGGAGTACTTTTTAACGACTTCGTTAGGCTACCGTTCGCGGCCGTAGAAAAATTACTCGGTTCATAATGCTGGCACATCGATGCATTTAGCGCGTGTACTCGCGGTTCCTGCAATTTTTTCTTTGTCGGCAAACTTTTCTGCAACTGAACCCGATTCTTCTTCTTCCAACGAGATTTTTACCTGGGTAAATTGTTCGGAGCTACTTTTATCTGGATTTTGCGAATCGAGCATTGATGCTGCGATTGGTATTCGTTTACGTTAAGAAAAATGATCGATTGTAATTTTAACGCATCTAGATCGTGTCACTTTTGAGCAATTCGAACATTAAAATTCTGTGCTTCGATTGCGATGAACAGGGAATGAAGACGTTCATTTCTGTCTTGACATAACTTTAGCGAGTTATAAATAATATAATGTAATTATCGAATTATGCTAATGGTGTCACTGTTTCGCATTTCAACTACTCATTTCTGCTACAAAAGCATAAAATGATGACATATAATTCGATTACATGCACGCGTAACAAAATTTCTCTCTATTCCTCATTTCTTTCATTAGTTCAGCCTCCGGCAAATGATCTAGTTCTCCAAGGAAGATGCTACGACTACTTCAAACAATCCTCTCCCATAAAAGGTTAAAAAACACACGCTATAACACCGAGGATCGGAGTACCCAATTTATTTCGGACATTCTTCGAAAACCAATTTTCTCAGACGCCGCCGAATTACGTGACGAACGAGCAGCGACAGCAGCTTCCGCGGGAAAGAATCGTAGGCTCCTCAAATCTGAGGAGTTTCTAAATTCCGTATTATCCACTCGAAGCCGTCGGGACCGGCACATATTTTCGGGTATCAGAAGGGATGACAAGGGTCGCGCGAGCTCGTCCCGGTTGCTCCGGCTCGTCGTCGTCGTGGCACATAATTCGCGCGGTCTGATTACTTTGGTCTTAGGGGCGGAAAAAATGGCAGTGTTCCGCGCGAAAAGCCGGAACGGTTGGCTTAAAGGGACCGTGAACGCTCTTTCGGTTTCGCAGGCGGCCAAAGATAAGCCCGGGGAGACCTTGGACGAAGGGACCAAGGAGAAGAAGGAGGCGGCGTCGCAGTCCGTCGAGGAGGAGCCGGCCGATCCCGAAGGTGAGAGGCGAATAATTTCATCGAAGCTCTCTCTTCCCTGTCGCCGACCGAACCCCGTTTGTTCTCGGCGACGCGACGTAAACCGTGGGTAGAGCCGCGGAGGGCTGGGCGGGGCGGGCGAGGCAATAACAAAACAGTAATTTCGCTAGAAGCCGCGCGCTATAGCACTTATCGCGAGATAAATCTGAAGGTATGGGTATTGTCCTCGCGCGCGGTCTCCGCGGTATCACGTAGTGCTTTTACGTTGCCCTAAACAGATTTTATGGGATCACGGGAGATACGGAGGGCCCGTTAAGCCGCGGAAAAAAGGGGAGCAGCCGCGCCGCGACTTCTTATCTCCGCGCGTTCGCGCCCATATTTAATAACTAATTCCTCCGCCCCCGCGTGTTATTACACGCGGAATCCGGGGACGAGCCGCGATAAACTGATGCCACGGGACAGAGAAACTTTTCTTTTGTTACGACCGCTGTTTTCTGGAACGGAGACCACCGCGAGAGATCGTACTTTTATCGCGCGGAGGGTCGACTGTTCGGTCTGCGAGGACTGCGGTTTAATTGAGTACCGTGGAGGGTCCGCTGAATTATCGCGCGACTTTAACACGTTAAACGCGGCGTCAGTCCCCTGGGGCTGCCGGTGAACTTTCTGTTCGGGCGGCCTCAGTCTTCTCGAACTGACAGTGTACAATAATGTCTCTCTAATTGACGCAGAGATTGTCCATAAAAATGGACAATTTAGGAAGAGAAGATACGATTATTGGAGTCTCGCGGTTCATTTTTATAGTTACGAATTGTTAACAATTATAAAAATGAGCTGCAAGGCTCGAACAATCGTATCTCCTCTTCCCAAATTAGCCATTTTAGTGGACAATCTGAGCGTCGGTAAGGGAGACATTACCGTACCTTTTTTGGGCGGCGTTATTTCCCAAGCATTGACAGCGAACCTATCGTTTGGAGTGTCAAGATGAAAAAATAATGCGGGCCTGACGTCTCAAAGAAAAACTCTGCAAAATTAGCACCGCGCTTAACGTGTTAATTGGACTTCGGAATCTTATGGGTTCGCCTGGGAGTTCATGCTGCTTGTCAATAGTTTAGAGTCACTCGACTTTCAGTAAAATGTTCTGCGCAATCATCGATCTTTAGAGTCAGCAGCAAAGTCTCGGTAAAAACTTCCATCGAATCTGTAACGTTTCAAATCACGGATTGAATGTCGGCAACAAGTCCTATCGCATCTTTGGCATCTTCATTTCGTTCTCCAATAAACAATCCGTTCATCCCTCAAGTGGCGAAGTTCTCGTCAAAGACAACTATATCCGTAACCACCGTGAAAACTGCGGCCAGCTCGATCGGTAAGTACTCAAGCGTGTCCGGTGAACCCAGAAGTGAGTCCAGTAAGGCCAGAACCGTGATCAGTAAGACAGCATCGAAGCAAACTGTCCAGAAACAGCCGTCTGCAACTGGGACTTCGAAGTCAGGTAATCCAAAATCAATCGCGTATTCGAACTCTTCTAATTTGTGTATGCTCGATCAAGAACCTGAAGAGCCCGCCTGGCCCGTGGGAGTGCCATGGACACCGGAAGAAGAAGAAGAGGAGAAGGAAGTCGAAGAGGACGTGTTGCAAGTTAGATCCTGCAACCTCTGCAGCTTCTTGAACATTGCACTAATGTTACAGTGTTTAATTTTCGATCAACTGTGTCGATTGTTAAGCGACAGAAAGAATTTGTCTTGCAGAAGCTGTCGATGCCGAGGAACGAGGCGGAGATGAAGGAGTACCTGAAGAAGTTCAAGGACGAGGCGGTGCTTTACAGATCCTATTACAAGCACTGGCGGGAGACAGCGGATCAAGTAATATAAACAAATTTCGCTTTCGTAATCGCGAAACGTCACGCAAATGATCGCCGGCAGACGATGAGCGAAGTTGGCGGAAGACTCGTGATGGCAACGTTCCTGGTGCAAGGCAAAAGGGAAGAGGCGTTGAAGAGGATCGCTAAAACACGGGCGAAGGATGAAGTTGTTAGACGGCAGAAGGTTAAAGCTGCTAAACGGGCAAGACTAGCTAAAAAACCGTCGGTTAGGTCAACCAAGTCTTCCAAGTCCGCAGCGTCTACGGGATCCGTGTATGTCACGCCGCCTGAGTCTCTGTCGCAGGCGGTCGATGATCCAGCCGAAGAGATCGAGCCAGCTAAGACAGTCAAACCAGCTGAGATAGCCGAGCCAGCTGGAACAGACGAGACACCTGAGAAGCCTGCAGAGTCCGATAGCGCGGAGAAGCTTAAGTCGCCTGTGTCGTCGAAAAGCGCGGTTTCGAAGGTTCCTACGGAAAAGGAGACCGAGGTACAGTAATGTCTCCCTAATTGACGCTAAGATTGTGCACAAAAGTGGACAATTTGGGAAGAGGAGATACGATTATTCGATCCTTGCGGTTCAGTCACAAGGCTCGAATAATCGTATCACCTCTTCCCAAATTTTCCATTTTTGTGGACAATTCTCGAAAATGAATTCTACTAGTCTCAGTAACTGGACCAAAATTTTGCTATCGGCGTAGGTGGACCAGTTACTGAGTCTAGTGGGATTGATTTCCGGACACATACCAAAAATCTCGAAAATGAATTCTACTAGTCTCAGTAACTGGACCAAAATTTTGCTATCGGCGTAGGTGGACCAGTTACTGAGTCTAGTGGGATTGATTTCCGGACACATACCAAAAATCTCGAAAATGAATTCTACTAGTCTCAGTAACTGGACCAAAATTTTGCTATCGGCGTAGGTGGACCAGTTACTGAGTCTAGTGGGATTGATTTCCGGACACATACCAAAAATCTCGAAAATGAATTCCACTAGTCTCAGTAACTGGTCCACCTAGGTCGATAGCAAAATTTTGGACCAGTTACTGAGACTAGTGGAATTCATTTTCCAAATTTTTGGGAATCTGAGGGCATGTGATAACTTCATTTTTCACTCAGTAACTGGTCCCCCTAGGTTGAAAATATAATTTTGGACCAGTTACTGGGCCTAGTAGGATGGATTTCCTGATAGATTGAGGTACCAGTGTAGATCGATTTTTTGTAAATGTTATACATTCACCGACGCTCAGATTGTCCACTAAATTGGATAATTTGGGAAGAGGAGATACGATTATTCCAGCCTTGCCGCTCGTTTTTATAGCTCTTGAGAATTCGAAACTATAAAAATGAACCGCAAGAATCGGATAATCGTATCTCCTCTCCCTAAATTGTCCATTTTCGTGGACAATCTGTGCATCAATTAGAGAGACATTACTGTACGAGCGTCAGTAGAGAGACATTACTGTATCGCCGCGAAGCGAGACCTCGAATTCTGTGCTTGCCCCCGTAGGATAATTTATCCTCGGTGGTCGCGTTTCTATTGACTCGCGCCGCTGAATTTTCCAGTTTCAATTTCCTCCGTGGAATATTCAGAACGTCATCCGGCCGGCTTTGCCGGGCTCCCGTTAGACTCGAGGATGAACCCTCGGACGCAATATTCCGTGCTCCGTTCAGTGCGTAATTTTTTCTTCAGCGTCTCTCCCCTTTATTGACTCTCGCCGTTGCAATTCCCATGTTGAACTTTCTCCGCGGAGACAAAACCTCTCGGAGAGAAATTTCCGAGGATTACCCGCGGAGTTCCTGCGTGTTCCTTTCCCAGGGATGATTTCCAGTACAATAATTCGTTCGCCGACCGTCTTCCTCTCTTCTATTGACTCGCGCCGCCGGACCCTTCGTTTTCAGTTTCCCCTGTAAAATATTCAGAGACACCGATATCCGCCGTCGGTGTTTCCACTTTTATTGTCCCATCGGCGGCGACGCGCGGCGCCCGAAAAATTCGTAAAAAAGATTCTCAGCGCGACGATATCGATATCGATGTCCGGGTTCGATTTCGCGACACGATGAACCCCCGCCGTGTCGACCAACGGTAATTCGATCGGCGACAAGTTTTTTCCTTTGCGGCACGTTCAAGCGCCATTAGGCCCGCGGAACGCCGGCCGAATGGAGACATAACGCCGGATCGGGTTTTTCGGTCGCGTTGAACGGAAAACGTCCGACCGAAGGCGGACGTTTCGGAATGGAGGTCGCGTACCGGCGAGTTACGGGACCGTGGCGGGATGTTTTCGAAACACTTTTTATCGGCGACCGTTCGACAAATATATTTCCGATACCCGGATAAAGCGCGCACCTTTTTTCAAATTCCCCTCTACCGTTCTCGTTATTCTCGTCGGCTTTCGTTATTCCGCCGCCGCTGAAATACGTTTCGTCTCCCGTTAGTTATGACGTCGAAGTGCGGAGACGCTCGTATAGTATAATCGACGCCGCCGCGCGCTAATCCCGCGCAATTAAACGTTCTATCGCGGTGAAGCGGACCGTTTAATAAATCCGACGGGAAGTTTTCTCGCGGCGGCTGTGATACGGTTTTAAATGCCGCAACAAATATCGGATCGGTCTTCCATATTTTCTCTAAATTATTCGGGTCTGGCTCCGAGTTAACCCTTCTACGCTATTCAGAAAAAACGCTGAGGGTGCTCTCGGGTGGTATACTTACTTATTTGTCCACGTATTTATTTATTTCGATAATTCTTTCATAATAACCCGAGCATCATGGATGTTGCAATTTCCATTTACCTGATTAATATTACAAACGATTCGGTTACCGTTGCAAAATAGGCGTAAAAATGAGCAAAGTCGGTAAATTTGACTACGCCAAGGTGATCGTTAACACTAGATTTACGGAAATACCGTCAAAATGACGGATCACTAATTTTTTAATTGACGATTATTCGTGTCGTGAAGATATGTGTTTACGAGTTATTTATTCAATTTATATGTTACTTATGGCAAATGTTACAATAACACTTGTCAAAAATCAGGATAAATGTCTTATTATTATTTTTATAAAGCTGTTTTTCGTGCTCCGTAAATCTAGTGTCAAACGAGTTACATGGGTCACGCAGCTCCGAATCGTCGCAGAAGGGTGCTAACGTCGCGCGGCCATTTTGATCGGCGAAAAGGCAGCGTCGATGAACGATTCGGCCATCCCGGAATCATTTCGCGAAGCTCGATTTATCACGATCATTAAGAGCGATTTAACTCTCGGCTGGCGCGTCTTTGCTAGGCGTCGAGGTTCGCGCGGCGCGGAACGATGTAGCGATTGACTGATACCGAGGACCGAAGATTAATGAACGATGATCGTCGGGAATCGGGTGAAGAATGGCCGCGTGATTCCGCGGGTTTCAATCGGGCCGCGACGATTGATCCGATTCGCGGCCCAATGATCCGTGCGCGAGCCGAGTAACCGTTCGTTTATTTACGTCTTTCGGTTCTTTTGTTGGCTGCGCCGCGGGCTCCATGCATTTTCAGCGAGCGAAGCTCGGCCGGCGAGGCGTGACGAGGGGCTCCGTTTCTTTCTCCGCTCGCAATTAAGCGATCCATTCGATCGATTAACCGGTCCCTTTCTGATTTTCCTACTTCTCCGTTGGCAACTATCTTATTCGCGCGAGCGCTGTTTGCTTCATTCTCCGATTCTCTCCGCGCGATAAATCTTCGGCGCCGTTGCAAAGAGAATTTTACACTCCTTACGAATCGATTCGAGGCTGTTTTATATCTTCCTCGAACTCTTTTTACTCCCTTTCTTATCGCTGTAATTAAACTGCTGGTTTGGCGCTTTCTTCGCGTCCCGAAACGTCTCGAGTTCAACTCCCGCGGACACCTTCGATTCGAACGGCCACAGAATCGTGTAAAAAAATCGTGGCTCAACATTTTCGAGCTCGTTCGAAAGAGCAGACTTTGCCCTTAAAGATAGCGTTAGTTTCATTCTCGAAAAAAATTTCTCCCGCTTTCCACAGATCCGCGAAGTTGAATCTTCCAGCAAAATTCTGACGCGATGTAGGAAACACCGCTGCGAACGTCACGCCTACGCTACGTTGAATTAATCACGCCCTTTTTCAAGCGCAGACTTTTCCCTTTAAAACGAGCACGGAGTCATCGCGATACGACCGTTTCCAACAAAGTTGCAGCGCTTAGAAGTTCGCTCCTCTTTGTTCCCCCGTTCTTATCGTTGTAATTACACGTTCACGCATTCGTAAAGCACAGAGATCCGCGCTCCGATTACAATAAATCCTCTCTATACCGCGGAGATAAATGGTCCGAAAAATGTTCAGGCACCGTAGGATCGCGTCGTTTTTATCGTTCCTCGAAATTTTTGCAGCCCGACGAAGCGTTGCGGGTGGACGAGCTGTTCCGAGACTGTGCTCGAGCTTGCGAGCCGATACCGTACCACTTCTACCTGCGATGCGAGCCAGACGTCGAGTTAGCTGGCGTGGAGGACGAGCACGACGAGATTTTAGAAATTGATCTGACCCGTGAAAAGATGCTCGGCACTCTGAGACGCGTGTGGTACAATCTAGCGGAGAAGCCGTGCAAAGGCGGGAAGCCCTGGATCTAGGGAACGCCGGTCCGGATCTCGTTAATAAATATTCCACACGGCGGTTCCGGGTAAACAAATTCTGCGGCGAGGACCGGCGGATCATCGGGGTACCATGAAACTTCGTGGGAACGAGATTGAACGGGAATGCAGCCGTGAATAAGGTATAAGGTAATTGCCGAATATTTCGAACGGAACGGCGCACGGTTTTATCGTGGATCGGGGACACGGCGAAAGTAACTAACGATGATCGCATTAAAAGCTGATAAACCGATACGGTGCCGCCGCGTAAATGTTTGCCGCGCGGCGCGATAATAATGCAGCTGGTTCGCCCGTTGCGTCCTGCATGGGTGTCGATATCGGGGGGGGGGGGGGGAAAGGCCAAATAAGGAGATCGCGTAGAGCCGCCTTGTTCGTTCGGGGGTTTTTGATGAAACCCCGGGGCACGATACCGTCCTGTAATAAAGCCGACGATAATAATTACTTTATTACACGCCTGAGCGAGTACATAAAGAACGGGGAATTGCATTACGTTGCAGCGGGACAGGTGCATGGTCGCATGGTAATTAAAGCGCATAGCGAAGTCGCGGATCCAGGATACACCTTGACTCGAGCATCCTCCGGCCGATTGGGAATGAATTTTGCACCTACTTGGAGCTCGTTTTCGATCTAATTTCGGCACTGCAAGACGCCGGCTTGTTCAGGAGACTTTGGGCGAACTTGAAGTTATTTTGTCACGAACTAAGTCAAATAGAATTTTACTGTTTTTTTAAAAAATTGGTTTTCTGGATTTTTCCGATGTGTCCCGAAAATGAATTCCACTAGTCTCAGTAACTGGTCCCCCTAGGTCGATAGCAAAATTTTGGACCAGTTACTGAGACTAGTAGAATTCATTTTCGAGATTTTTGGTATCTGTCCGGAAATCAATCCCACTAGTCTCAGTAACTGGTCCACCTAGGTCGACAGCAAAATTTTGGACCAGTTACTGAGACTAGTAGAATTCATTTTCGAGATTTTTGGTATCTGTCCGGAAATCAATCCCACTAGTCTCAGTAACTGGTCCACCTAGGTCGACAGCAAAATTTTGGACCAGTTACTGAGACTAGTAGAATTCATTTTCGAGATTTTTGGTATCTGTCCGGAAATCAATCCCACTAGTCTCAGTAACTGGTCCACCTAGGTCGACAGCAAAATTTTGGACCAGTTACTGAGACTAGTAGGATGGATTTCCTGATGGATTGGATTGCCAGTGTAGATCGATTTTTCGTAACAAGGTTCGAACAATCGTATCTTCTGTTCTCAAATTGTCCACTTTTCTGAACAATCTGAGCGTCAATTAGAGAGACATCACTGTATTTGGACTTGAAAGCTGAGGCAAAGGAATGAAAATATTCGGGAAGCATCGACACGGTAACGCATTCCCAAGATGTGCAAATAATTTAGCAGAACCACGACCACGGGAAAAGATCGTTGCACGACGGCGGGATAAGCCGCGGCAGACTGCGAACGTCGATGAGAATCCGAGCCGGGATGTATCAATTCGACGGAGAAATTGATTCCGCTTCCAGGAGATGTTCACGGTAAAGTTTAATGAGAGATACCCGAGGAAGATTTCAGGTTGGTCGGTCGTTGCGCGGCTCTGTTAAATTTTACGAGCACTCGGAGGCCGGCTCGCGCTCCTCGATGATGCTTTCCTGGAGGCACCGGCAATTCGAGCGACCGGCGCGAAACGTCGCGCCGCGAAGTCTCGGCGAACGATGTCCCGCGAGACAACCAATTCTCGGGCCGAGTTTTCGGTTACGAGTGGCGAACGCGACGGCGGAATCGTCGTAAAATCCGGGACGGGCCGATATAAGGATCCGTAAAACTTCGGGGACGGGCCGCGATCCATTTTTCACGGGCGCAACGGCTGCGCCGCGACGCGACCTGCCGCGTCGTCCCGACGCCTGTCCCGGCAGACGGCGCGTCCGAAGAGAGATGTCTCTTGGGAGACAGGTATCTCTCCCACGAGCGAACTGCCCCCGCGCCGCCCCTGTGTGTCCGGGTTCTCCGTAATATCTGCGTTCGACATCAAAGACGTTGCGCCTTCTGTCGGCTGTCGGCTGACAGAACCGCCGTTGGTTTTGCCGAGGCATCAACAGCTAGCTTATTACGTAACATCAAAGCTCGGCCCGATATTTGACAATGTCGAGCAACCTCGCGAGCGGAATTTTCCTACCCGCGGCACCCCGCCCGCCGATTTCGGCGGTTTCCGTCAACAGTTTCCCTTTGTCCGCCGTTCTCGAACCGAACTTTTAATCCTATCGCAATCACCGAAGATCTCGACGATGCCTGATGCACAGCGGAAGTGTTGCTTCGACGATTTCACAGATTTCGAGAAATATTGTTCGTTGTTCGACATCGTAGAATCATATTTTTATCCTAATCGCTGAGCGTTTCGATGTTGCCTCGTTTGTGGCAGATTTGTCTACTCGCTGTCTAAATAGTTCGTTAATTTGACAATTATGTAGGTTCTCGTGATTATTCGTCATTGTTCAGCGACTTAGAATCGTACTTTTAATTCTGTGCTAATTGCTGACGCATAATTGATGGCTTAGGACAAAGTTTCGAGGCTGTCTGATTTATGGATGACTTAACTACTTGTTTGCTGAGCGGTTGAAAAATTGATTTAACAATTTCCTAGGTGGCTTGTAGGTGGTTTTATTATATACATCATTATATACATACCTAATCAGAATTTTCTGGTTACGTCTGATCGATCCTGGACTAAATCTACTTGTCGCTAAAGTTCTCGCAAGAAGAGAAATATTTGCGCCAACCTTTCGCGACTCTAAATTTGAATTGAATGGCCAGAGCGACTTTCCGGTTCTGTCTGACCAAACGGCGATCATTCTACTCGCAGTTACGAGGTCGACTCGGTAGCCGTGGACCCGGCACGACTTTAATAACAGTAATAACTGTCTACGGATAGTCAATAACAGTTCGCCTCCCGGGTCCCGTGAAGCCGCACGTTATACCTTATAATAGCTACTAAAAAATGATTAATAGAAGGGAATTTAAAGTCACGAGTCGAAGCCAACCGGTTCGCTTTTCGGAGCTGGACGCGATCACCGCGTCTCAAAGAACGTTCTCCTCTCCGGTTTCACGTGCCATTAATTTTAATGACTATTGCGTCCCGCGTGTGTGATCAAGGTTTTATGAGGCCGCTTTGCCGGAACGTAATTTTTAACGCAAACTCCCCGAACGGATTTTGAAGCGGCGCGTCGCGATCCGAGCGGGGGAAAGAACTGTAACCGAAAGCTCCTGGGGGAGGTAATAAAGTTCCACAGGGCTCTGTTTACTCGTCAGAATATTACGCGACAGGACTGTGTGCCGACGAACTTCGTTCTGCCTCCTTGCCGAACTCGTTAACTTCGTCGAACCAACGACCAGCGATTGTGCTTCCGAACTTCATAAACCATCGACGAGGGACTGCAGCGGTTCTAAAATCTTGGGGATACAAAGGGGAAAGTACGTCCAAGGCTTCGGAAACCCGTGGAGACAGTTTCCCAGAAGATTCGGGAGTTCAGGAAGCCGGTAGTTCAAGGTATTCGATTTCCAAGCAATATTGCTCCAAGAAAATTCAGCTGCGCACGGTACAGTACTGCAAAATAAAAATATCTGAAAGCACGTTAAATTGCAAACTTCGCTCTTTAAAACGAGTACAGGTACAGTGCCTTAGGTTCATTTTCAACAAAGTTACGGCCATTTGAAGTTCGTCAAATTTCCTCGATTTTTGGGCCCTTAAAGCTTCAACCGCTGCGGCACATTTTCAATTTAAACGTCCGTGGAGTGGCGTAAAAAGATCGTAGATCAACGTTTCTGGGCTCGTTGGAAAGAGGATACTTCAAGCTTCATACGTGCTTCAATTTTGTTGGCGGAAAAAATTGTTCACGACTGTCAGACCGCTGCAAAGTTGAACATTTCGAGGAGATGAAAGCTTGTTGCAGACATTTTCGTTTCGAAGCTCATTTTTAATTTCATTTTAATTTCAGTGCAAATGGTGAATAAATTGGTATTCCAAAAGCCTTGGGAGTCCGAGAATCTTCCAAAATTCTGCAAAATATAGGAGTCCGGTATTCCCAAGGACTCGAGATCGCATAGGTCGGTATTCCCAGGGTTTTGGGAATACAAAGGAACAGAGCGATTTGAAATACGGATGCTGGGTCTGGGTTAGGTTTGCACGAAGATAATTCTTAATCTGCGAATATTGATCAGACGGCTTTCGGGGGGGGGGGGGCTGGCTACCTATCGAACATTCCCTTTCCATAGACAACGGAGTCGCTGTATATTAACCGTATCGGTATATGCTGCGTGATTTACACTCGCTACCAGGGAACTGGTAGCGGTTCGTGTAGGGTTTGTCGGTATTTTCTCAGCTCTCTCTCTCTCTCTCTCTCTCTCGCTCCCTCATTCCAGATCGCAGTGATTTATCGCGTCGAACTGCATCGCGCAGCTCTGCCTCCAGGAATCATTTCGGATCGCGGAATCTTCGATTGAGCCCCGATAAGGCTGTTTCCCAGCGAGCATCCGAAGGAAAATGAAATGTTGCGCGAGCTGATGGAATCGGAAGTTTATATTAACCCAGTTCATGGTCTGCGCGCACAGAGCGAGCACGCCGACATCGAAACAGTTTGTTCGTGATTTGTGATTGCGAAACAGACGCAGCGAGACGTCTTTAAACGGGGGCCGAGATTTCCGTGGACGCACTCGTTCACCGTTGATTACGCCGGCACTCGGTCGCTCGGTCGTAAGCTGTCCGATTAGAAACAACCGCCGCGACCGGCGCAACTATCCCCGAACAATTAGAAGCAGTAGAATTAACCGGCAACGTCCAGATACCCCCGTTGAAACTATGTATTTCTGTTGTACGAGCGCACCGGCGTGTAAAACGTTTTGCCCAGCGAGTGAAATTGTTTCGCCGATTAACTTCGGTCCACTTGGAAGAACGAGTTAACTCGTCGTTTTCGTTCGACCGTGTTTACGTTACGCCTCGCATTTGTTTCACCGTTCTTTCAAGACGACGATTCATGCACCGAGACATCGGGATCGAAACGATCTCCGGACTATTTCCGGGACCTCAAAGCCGGCGAGCGTTAATATGATCTACGATCTCGGCGTGGTCTCGGTGATTCATTGTTTCAATCGCAGGACGAAATACGGAGAGGCAGTTTTGCATCTAGGCTTATCGATCACGGGCCGAGAACAGCTTGGTGCTGGGCTCTCGGAAACAGTGCAAACAGGCGGCCATGTGTTAGCTGTATTGCTGCGGCGCGTGACTTTCGATCAGATCGAAGTGCAGGCTGTTGCGAACTGGGTAAATAAATCGATGATCGAAAGACGACGTGGTTGAAATATTAGCTGAGGTTTCGCGAGAACTTCGGCTAGAGTTTTGGGAACATATGGGCCTGTTATTCGCAAGCTCTTCTGGGAATGTAAGGAGTTAGTACTCTTGACGTTTTGGAAATGCAAAGTTCTCGCAAGATCTTGTGGGAATACGAAAGAATGGTATTCCCAAGGTTTTGGGAATACAAAGGGCTAGTACTCCCAAGATTTTGGGAACACAAAGGGCTAGTATTCCCAGGGTTTTGAGAATAAAAAAGGTTAGTATTCCCAAAGTTTTGGGAACAGAAAGGGCTAGTATTCCCAGGGTTTTGGGAATACTGACTACTAATATTCCCAAGGTTTTGAAAAAATAAAAGGCTAGTATTCCCAGGGTTTTGGGAATACT